TTAGTCGCTGTGGTCGACGGACGGGTTGCGGCAAAGCGGATGGTGTCGGTGGTTACTGGCGGCCGGACAGCGACAGTGAGATCGGCGGCGACAAGGGTGGCGGTCGACGCGGGCGCTGCAGCAGGAGCGAGAGTGGGAGATGCAGACGTTGTCGGGTTGTTGGCACGTTGGGTCCGAAATTGTTCTACGAGACCGATTCGCGCGCGGAATGCGCGTCGGTGGCGAGGGTAGGTTGGAGGCGGTTGACGGTTGACATTGAGGAGGCGAGGCACTTGTGACTTGCGAGCCTCCATTTTCGCTTTGGTGGGGGCGATCTGATTTACTTCGTAGATGGCGGCGTCGGTCCGCACTTTTTTCGCCATGCCGGTCTGTTCTGGACGAGGTCCTCCCAGCTCCGCGGGCTGATCTGCAGCCGTTTCGGAGTCATTCAAAGTGTCCTTGTACCGCCGTTTTTGTCCTCCTCGTCGACGAGTACCCATGGTGACATCAAATAATTGTTTCGGTAGACCTGTATCTTCCAACCCCACGAGATGGTCGTTCCAACGTAGTTGCAGTTGCCTCAGCATGCCGTGGATGCTGAGGATTCCGGTCGGTCCTAGAAGTTCGTGTCAGAGATCCTGTCTTGCCATTTCAGCTTTGGTATCCTGCGAAGGCAGCTGAGATGGACGTGGTTGAGCTTCTTGGCATGGCTGGAGTAGACTGTCCAAGTCTCCGCTCCGTAGAGAAATTTCGTCAGACAACGGCCTTGTTTCACCCTCAGTTCAGCATTCACTTGAAGGCCGTAGCGATTCCGCACGGAGTTCTGCTGCCGGCCGAAGGCTTGACTGGCTTTTGCGATCCGGTGGGCAACCTCATCGTCGATTCTGGTGTTGTTGGGAAATGTGCTTCCAAGATAAACAAAATTGTCCACGGTTTTGAGTTTTTTGCCGTCGAAAGTGATTTGAGGAGGAGCGCAGTGTTGCGTGTTTGGTGACTGTTGTTGTATGACCACCGTCTTGTCTGTACTGGTAGTCAGGACGAAGTTGGCGCATCCGGCAGCGAAGAGGTCTATGCTCCGTTGTACGCCTACTTCGGTTGTGATGTTGCGGGCGTAGTCGTCGGCGAAGAGCAGGTCGTGAACGATGGTCGTAGACAGTCGCGTCAGTTTTGTAGGCAATGCGTACCCCTGGGCGCTCATCACGGTAGGCGTCCATCAGCATGGCAGAGAACATGAGACTAGGGAGGGTAGGCGCGGAGACAGCCCTGCTTCACTCCATTGGTCATTGCGAAGGCCTCGCCATCATCGTTTCAAAGATCCGAGGTACCATGTTCGTGAATCATTCAGAGCAGCCGAATTTCTGCATGAGTTCCCAAAATCCCTCGAAATTAACCGCATCGAAGGCTTTCATCAAGTCCACGAAGGTTGTGAGATGATTCCTTACCTCCTGGCACTTCTCTTGTAGTTGGCGGGCGGCAAAATCATAACACTAGTTGCGCGATTTTGCCGGAATCAACATCGGCTTTCCGACAGGAGTCCTTGCTCGAGGTGACCGTTGAGATGATTGAGGAGAAGGCGAGCGAAGATCTTCCCGACACTGTTGAGTAGCGAGATGCCTCTTCGGTTATCACAGAGTTCCCGGTTCCCTTTGTGCTTGTAGAGATGAACAATGGTTGCGTTTTTATAAACCATGGGAAACATGTCCGCAACGCCACATCTCCTGAAATAGCACCCGCAGTTGGTCTATTAGTGGGTGGCCGCCGTGTTTTGTAGATTTCGGCCCTAACGCACATATTAGGTAAACAGAAGAGTTTAATAAGTGTTATTTTGGAAAAGTGTCGAGTGTGCCTTGACGTATTCTCTTTATGTGTTGCACGTAAACGTACCCTCCGCATACATTCGGAACAACTTTCAGTTGTCTGTCATCCGTAATGGTCAGGTACCCGAACCGATGTGAAATCCCAAAAAGATTCCTGACCTGATGACGATACCTGCCGACTAACCACAAGCTACACAGTGATTCAATCCCCCAATGGTTATGTTCGTCGGGCCATGAAAAACTATTACCAGTATGCGAAAATTCTTTACAATTCGGACTTGCTGCATTTTCTAAGCGATTTTTTCTTCATTTACAGACGTGATTTCTTCAAATATCAGTGACCCATTCACTTCTGAAGAGTTACATCCTCCGTGCATTGTCGACTTTCAGTGCAAGATGCAGTGTTTGCAGAATAGCGACCATTGAGTTATCTTCGCTGGTCTTTGAAGATGGCAAAAGGCTCTCATGCCTGATTCATCGAGTTCATTTAATAACTTCGAAGTTTTTACAATTTCCACGTCCATCGACCGTGCTCGCCGGGTAGCAACGAAGGGAATAAATTACAATTGATAGGAGTACTTGGCGAGCATACGTTTGCTTTCGATTAATTGTCGTCAGGCCAGTGCATTTAGATGGGAATGGGGTCAGGTAAAACATGTCAGGGATAAGGGAAAGCGATTAAAGCTCGTCCTCAAACACAGGCGGGGTGTGAGAATACGGGAGACGGGGGGAGGTAATAAAAGTCGATGCCAGAGGAGGGGTGGGAGCGGAAGGGCACGGAGAGAGCAGAGTCAGTCGACCTTTGCCCACGGTAGGTGTGAAGCCTGAACGTGATTCTTCTGCGCGCATAAGATCGGCTTTCGTAATCTGACGGCGGCCGCTTTTGCTGTTGCTAGCAGGCGCTGGCCCAGTACCTTAGGGTAGGTCGATGGGACCTTATAAATCACGCAAAAGGCCTCGCTGGGGTCCACACAGTGCCCGGAACAAATAACGTGCGCGAGAATGACGCTGTTTTTGTTCCCAGTTCCGACTTTTCTTAGCTCTCCCGAAAGATATTCTCGTATTCTTTTGGATAGGTGCCGACTCATGCGAGCGATATAACCTGCACCACAGGAGAAACTGAAGGAGTAGATGCACATTAAACTGGTCTGAGATGGCAACCTATCTTACCTTCGCACTGAGGAAACTACTACCAAGATGCACACTAAATGTGCGACTCCTTTTTGGCAACCTACTCCATAGACAAATGGACGGTGTTTCTAGGGACTCGCCACTTGGTCCACTCTTGGGCGATATCTTCATAGAAAAGCTGGATAAATTCCAACCAAGCTATCAGACAACTAGGCTTAAATATTACAGACGCTACTTTGATGACATCCTTGCAATTGCCACCACAGAAACCGATGTAGCTGCCGTCTTACATAGTCTAAATCAGGCACATCCGTCGATCAAGCACAAGTTGAGGACGAAAACGGTTTATCCGCTCCCTTTCTTAGATGTCCTTCTAAACAGGAGACCTGACAGTAGCGTCCAAAGGAGCGTCTATCAAAAGGAGACCTGGTATGGACTATACACGAACTTCGGCAATTTAGTGCCCCTCAAAGAAATGAAATCCAGTCCGGTGTTTGGCGCAAACGACTAGAAAAATTTGTTCGGTGGACAGCATCGAGGGGGAGCTCAGTAGGATCCAGAAGTTGCTTCAAAAAAACGAGTATCATAACAGGTTTATTTCAAAGAATACTGTTGTGAGATCGGAAAAGCCCACCATACTGACTGCTGAAGAGAAAACTCTGTTCCCCAAAGTCCCTTTTCAGGAGGACGCTGCCAGCGAACTCCTAGGAAGACGCCTTGATCAAGCCATCTTACGAACCTTTCCGGCAGCGAGGGTTTGAATATTATTCACTACTAACCCTATTTTACGCGGAGAAGTTAAGGATAGGTTGGCATCTCAGACAAGTTCCATGTGCATCTACTCCTTCACTTGCTCCTGAGGAGCAGGTTATATTGGTTGCGCGAGTCGGCACCTATCCAAAAGAATACGAGAAAACCTTTCGGGTGGGCTAAGGAAAGGCGAAACTAGGAGCATAGACAGCGCCATTCTTGCGCACGTTATTGATTCCGGGCACCGTGTGGACCCCAGTGAAGCTTTTCGCGTAATTTATAAGGTCTAATCGAGCTACCTTAAGCTACCGAGCCAGCGTCTATTGACAACAGCAGAAGCTGCCGCTATCGGGTTAAGAAAGCCGGTTTTGTGCGCGCAGAAGAACCTCGTTCAGCTACAGCAGATAACCACTAATCGGCGGCTCCTTAAACATCGAGTCCCCTCACTTCTTGCTGTCATGGAATGTTTCTGGGTGTTCTCTGAGAGCAAGGTGTAGTTGTGTAGCCCCACCTGATGGACACAATACTGTTGGGGTTGGGGTCAGGGGTTAGGGCAACTATTTTTCAACCACGCATTCTCAATAGCTTTTCTTTTGTATAAAATTACTTGACCTCGTCGCTTGTGCGTTTCCCGGCCCCACCTGTAAAAACCCCTATTACCACCGATCCAGTATTACAGGTAGCTGGGGTTTGTCTACTTCAGGTGGGGCTACATAACCACATCTGAGCCCTGTTAGTATCGTTTATTAACGCTGTATTCGTCTCTTCTGTCGTATCGCACGTTCGTCTTCTCCGTCGGCTGACCTTAAATAGTATTGGGGTGTTCATTTTTGAGTAGGTTTATTAAAATAACTTTTCCAACTATCTTTACACCTTTCATTGGCAACTTGGTCGTGTTCGAGGGAGTGACGCGAACTGCGCGACCGAACGACCCACTTTAGCCTGAAATCGACTAACCAACCGAGACCAAATGTTCAGTTAGCGTCAAATCGGCTGGCATCTCCTCCGCTCACTCGCCAACACACGCCGCCCGGCCTGCTCTTCCAGCTTGCATCAGGAACCCTCGTGGCTGAGCGTTTGGCGTGACCTAGAGGGTCTCACGACCTCTAGCGGACAGTAGACCATCTAGTCCTCTATGCGACATGCAGGCTGGGTTCCAGTTTTCGTCCATTTGAGCGCTACGTTGGTTCCGGTATATAGAGTAACGTCGTGGCAACACCTAGGTCTCTTTGCATACATCTGACCCAAACGGTGGTCTAACTACTTGTCTACTTGAAAGTAGCGTGTTGTGTTGGAGGATTTGACGCCTGCTCTCGTGACGACATGCGGATAACCGCCGCAGTTATGACCAGAACCTGGTTGGTTTCAAGCTTTAGACAGTTAAAATCAGTCAAAGAAAGCAGAAAAACTTTAAAATGTATGTACCTGTTCTATGAAATGTCCAGCGCTGATGCAGCTGTATTACAAACTGAAGACGATAGCGAGCCTTCGAACCCTAATTATTGCAGCGCACAGTAAAATAACCTTCCAAAGTGGGGACCACGCACAAGAAAGGAGAGTCAACAGGGGCAAACGTGTAAATTTTGTAGAAAGAACAAGATTTACCGTCGTGTGATGCCTGCATGTGCTTCCATAGATTATTTGCATCTCGGAATTTTTCATGACATATAACGCACTGATAATTTCCAGCTGCAAGAATAGAAAAGAAGATGAGGTGTAGTGGTCACATGCTAACAGTCTGGATATTCGTGTGAGCCACACGAACTATAATTCAATAAGAAGCGGCAGAGTCTGTTTCTTTCACTTCCTTAAGATTCGATAAAAATGACAAACCATAAGATCGAACAGGGAAGACAGAAGGATACAACTAGCAGTAATTTAATATATCAGATGATTAACTGACAATTGGTAAGCGGTAAAAATATAAAAGGATGTCTATCGTTGGGGCAGACTAGATAACCGGCAGCGTGTGTGCAGTTTGGCCGTGACCGTGGTGCATTACCAATTTATCTCAGAACTGTTGTTCACTGTACCGGCGTATTAGGACGCCACTTCCTCTTACACCTCTGACTAACTCCGAGTGCAGTTAATCGTAACAACCCCTCAACAGAAGGCAGTTGGCTCACTTTGCACGTCTCAAACATCTAGTTATCTCACCGCCATCCTTACGTCCCAAATACTCTCAACGATAGATACTGAGAATATATGGGACGCCAGTCTGGCTTGAGTGCAATGCCAGCCCAAGGAACCTGGACATAAATTAACTCAAGATTATGAAAACATCAAAGAATGGATAAAAGGCACGAGTCTCAAGGGGTATCAGAGGCCTGACCTACCCTCGTGTGTCTTCAAATGTATCGTAAGATGGCACTTTTCTGAAAACCTCCGATCACAGTGAGGACATTCAAAACGCCGGACACCTAAAATCAAGAATTCTGGATGAGTAGTGCTAAATGAGTGGTCATGAGATTCTATTGGCTCAGGCAACGGATCGTTTGCA